GACGCTGAAATCCCATGTTGTTGAAGCGTGCATTGAGCTTCTCGTTCCAAACGCGGCCAGATTGTGGAAGTCCATACAGTGTCTTGCGCAGACGTAGGACACGATTAGTCCCATCAGAGAATCCTTCAGGCTGTTTCATGTAAACTTCCTCCTTTAATTCACCATTCAGGTAAGCACCCTTAACGTCGACAGTGCGAAATTCAAGATCATATTTCGCTGCTAGGGCTAGTAGGAGTCGGTTTGTCTCGGCACGGGCGACTGGAGATGAGATCTGGTCAGGGTCATAGTCGGTGCCAGGGATAGCATTGTTCCCTAAAATCACAAGTCTTGCTTTGTGACGTGTGATATCGCCTTCGGAATCAAATTTGTTGCGGTAAACCCATTTGCTGCCAAGTGCTCTACGGCCTGGAGGTAGACCTGTGAGTTCAAATGTTGCTAGGGAATCTAGCTGCTGAATTTCTTCCTCCATTGCCTTGCGCCAATCATCAGCACGTGGATGATTTACAGCTTGGCGATAATTCGAAGGCTCTGTGTGAAGTGCCATCTGTGCAAGATCGGGTTTAGCAGGGCGGCTAGCTGGGTTGTTGAGCAAACGCCAGTATCCAGAATTGGATGTGCCTTCAGTAGCTTTGCGAGATTCACGCTGTTCACGTGGTGGCATAGTGAGAATGTTTTGCTTAGCTGGTACAGTAGGGGGTTCAGGTCCATCATTGGAGTTCAGATTTGAATCTGGAGTTTGGACCTTGGTTGAGGATGTTGGTGCTTTGGGAGTGCCTAGATTTGGCGGCTGAGCCGGCGCAGGCTCGCTATTCCCAGATGAATTACCAGAACTCTCCCCCTCGAGCTGCGACGGGTCAGGAGGTGTGTACTCCTCGAATGTGCCATTTGACTTAATGAACACAACATTTCTCGAAGTGAGAATCTTGCGTGTTTGGCCAGTGTAGTAACGCCAAGCGCGTCCTTCCTCAGTGAGACCCATAAAGCGAAAAGGCTTTGAGCGTGGCTGCCATTTGGACGTAATTTGTGCCTGGGTAAGCACCCAGCACTTGGTCCCAAATTCGTACATGTTGCTGACGTCAGGTTTACGTCCCCAGAAAGCTTCATACGGCGTGACATGGGTTGCAAGAGAACGGGTAGGTGATCTGTTGATGATGTAGATCGCATAGTTGACAGCGGCGGGCCAGAGGAAAAGTGGGAGGTCTTGAGAGATGAGCATGGCACGAGCACGCTCCTGAATAGTTCGATTAAGACGCTCCGCAACACCATTCTGTTGTGGTGAATAACCAGCAGTTGGTTCCACAACGATTCCCTTTTCAGCTAACTTGTTGCGAAAGCTGGTGGAAAAATATTCGCCTCCTAAATCGAAGCGGAATGCCTTGCAGCGTTTTCCGTGTTGGGTCATGATGAACTCAATATGGTTCATGACTTGCTGCTCAGCTTCGTCCTTTGTCTTGAGAAAGACAACACGCTTGAATCGCTTTGCGCCATCCGTAAATGTTATGAAATAGCGCTCGCCATTGATACCAGTAGTGTTCATTGGCCCACAAAGGTCTGTGTGTGTGATGTCCCCAATGTCTGTGTATTGCCTCTCTGCTTGTTTTGGAAAGGGCTCAACATGCTGTTTGGCCTGGATGCAGACCTCACATTGGGTATGGGTGGTGTCACCTGAGACTTTCAACCCATTGACCATATTGTGGTGGAGAAGCTCCTGCATTCTTGAGTGGCTGAGATGCCCATAGACCCTATGCCAGTCATCAAGACTGCGTGATGGTCCAGCTGCGAATGCAAGAAAGGTTTCGGCGGAAGTAGCGATGTTCGCTGCATGTGGTATGACCGGTGTGACATTCCCTAGTGCATATACATCGCCAATGTTACGACATATACCGAGTTGTTGGTTGTGAGAGTCATGGATACCAACGTCCAAAGAGTTGATTGGGAAGTCCAGATGATAGCCTGCACGATGGAGTTTACCCAGAGAAATCAGGTTGTGTGGGCTATTTGGGAGATAGAGCACCCTCTTGAGTGTGATGTAGTTGGAATGTGATCCAATTCCAAGTCTAAGTCTCACACTCCCTTCACCTTCAGCAGTTGAAGAACCAATTCCTATAACTGTATGGCTGGATAATGCCATGTAAGAGGTGAAATAGGATCTGTTGTTGGTGATGTGAACACTTGCTCCACTGTCTAGAAGCCAAGAGTCCTTGGTGAGAGTAGGGGTAGCCATGAATGCAACATCATGAGCTTGCTCTGTAACTGTGTGGGCCTTGGGTCCACTTGAAGATGTACCACCCTTGGTCTTGGATGAGAACTTCGAAGTTGCGCTGCTTCTCCTTGTCAGAGAATTCTTTGCCAGATTGCTTGGCTCTGCAGTCGTTAGCGCGATGGCCTAGCCGTTGACAATGGAAACAGGCACCAGGTCGTGAGTTATCATGAGTGTGGGAGGATTTCGAACGATTGCCGAATTTGCCCTTGAATGCCGGAAGTGCCGTTGTGCTGGACTCAGCTTCAGGCTTGGCGGTGGGCTGCTTCGCATGCTGGATGATGCAAGCAATAAGGTCCTCAGGACTTGTGAGCTTGGTGAGATCGAAGTTCCCAGTCCAGTTGTCCCATGAATCAGGGAGTGATGTGAGGATAATGATGGCAAAGTCCGGATCCAAAATGACTGTCCCATAGGTTTCGAGATCAGTCCGAAGGGTAGTGAGAGTGCGGAGGTGCTCCTCAATAGGCTGCTCCTCACCGCATCCGAAGTGCATACAACTTGCGTCTCAAGTGTATGATCGTGATTGCGCCCTTGGGGGCATAGATGGACTGTAGTTTGTCCCATGCTTCCTTTGCAGTCTTAGCGCCTCGAATATAAGCCATTGGTGTATCACCGACGCGGAGTCGGATGATAGTGAGTGCCTTGGCTTGCTTTCGTTTCCAGTCCGCATTGGCCTTGACCTCGGCAGCATTGGCGGGGTCGGTGATAGCCGGTTCAGCAGTGCTGGTTCCGAATACATAATCATCATAGTCCTGGTCGACGAGGATGTCTCGGACTTTCGTCTCCCATGTTGGATAGCCAGCGGCGTCTTCCAAAAGCTTTACAGTAGTCCGGTAATGATCGGTCATTGTGTGCTTGTCCAGAGGAGGGATGATACAAAGAAGAAGAGAGAGAAGAGGAAGATCAAAGAAAAGAGGTGGAAGATCAGTGAGATCAACCAAAGATCAGAGGTTTGGGGTGAAGGATCAGAGGAATCGATCCAGAGATCAGAGAGATCAGAGAGAGAAGGCTCGATGTCAAGAGATGACAAAACAGGCGGAGGGTTATGTAAGTGATGTCCTAAGTTCAGTGACGGCCGGGGCCCATAACCTGTTGAAGAACAAAAAGTGGGGGGTAAAGAATCTATTCTCTAAACTAGGTATATGGGCTGAATTTATAGTACATGAGATGCGCAGCGCGCAGTCCGCGCAGTCCGGAGTCCGTAGTCCGCAGCCGCAGTCCGGAGTCCGTAATCCGCAGCCGCAGTCCGCAGTCCGCAGTCCGGAGTTCGCACGTGATCAGTGCTCCGTCAACACCACTGACCGCCAACGCCGCGCAGCAGATGCTCGCGGGCCTGTCCAAAGACGAGATCGTCATGCTCCTCCAACAGGCGCTCCTCAACGACGCCCCGCCCTCCGCGGCCCATCCCCAGTCGTCTACCCACCACCAATCGGCCTCCGCGTTCGCCAGCTCCTCCGACTCTTGCCGCCCTCCAGTCCCGCCCCCCCTCCTCCTCCGACAGATACCATCCGGTCCCGGCCGCCTCCGACGCGTACCGCCCCCCGGTCCCGGCCCGCACCTCCCCGCCGCTCCCGCCGGCCGCGCCGCCGAGCTGGCGCGCGCCGTACACGGACGCGGGGATGAAGGCGCGCTGGCCCGCGGGCGACGGGCGCGTTCGTGCAGGTGCATGGTCATGGCCGGCGCTCGCCGTTCGACGTTAACCCCGGTCCCGACCGGCAGTGGCGGTGCGTTTGGCTCCGTGTTTGGCAACGGCAGCAGCGGCTTCGCGCCCTTTGGCCCGGACAGCGACCGCGACCGTGACCGTGCACGCGCGTGGCAGCCACAGGAGCCGATTGGGCGGCCGCGCTCGGGGTCGCGCCCGTTTTGACCTCGCCATCCGGATATCAGTTATGTGTTTTCGTCTTTTTTTTTCTCCTTTCCGTCAGCTGTGTTTTACGTCTCTCTCTCTCGACTCTCGCCCCCTTGCCTCGCCCTCGCCCTTGCTGTTTACATACGCATCACCCGTGTTATCGTCGTCGTTTTTGGTTATCGTCTACTCTCTACTCTTCCCGCGGCTGTCGTCTATCGTCTACTCTCCCCTGCCTTGGTTACTCGCCCTCCCACGTTTCTCGCCTCGTCTTCAGTGTTTAGTGTTCTCGCCGCGTCGCTCTCGGATGTTGATTATATATATACATATGTTGCAGTGTGGTATATGATAGGATAGGATATATATATATATATTGGATAGGATAAAATGGAATGGTTGTAGTGGAATATGTGAATGGTCTGCTTACTTGGTCTGCTGAAGTGTGACAAGGGCCAGTATTGCCAGTGATTCCATAGATGATGTCGTGGTTGCATCACAATATATCTTTATGGAAAGTTGTCCAATGGGAACTCAGGTGTAAATTTACACTCAAACAGGCTGGCACGAGAGGGCTACAAGACTTACTGCTTATTGATAATATTAGGGATAACCTAAGAACAATAATCTTGCTGTGATACTTGATTACTTACATTTTACAGCTGTTCTTAGCAAATCAGGGCTTCAACAGCAAGGACTGCCAAACATGTGCATAAATTCACACAACTCAGCCATACAGGAACAGTGGAAGTGTGCATATGTCTACTTTTAATGTATGGTACAAATTTCAGGACTGGATGAACAAACAATAAGGTTCACAGGGCTTTTCAACCCATTGGAACCTCAAATGTGATTCTGTAAGAATTTATTCAATTTTTGTAACAAGGCTATATACTATTAGTAAAACTCATTGATGGTGACAAGAAGCAACATGACAAAAAGAGCAGCAATGTATGGGAATATAGAGGGTATGGGTGGTGCATAACATTTCGCCCAGTTGGGACCAAGGAAGTTCAAATCAATGTCAATATCTGCATGTCCCTCAGGGGATATTATAAGAGTGCATTGGTTGATTTGAAGGGTGCGGCGGAGAATGGGGGAACACCAAAAGATACGGTCCGTGGCAGGGTAGGGGCCAATAAGCCAACCATCAATGTCAATAGAATACTTTGGCAGGGTGGGTGATATATCCCAGACTCGGATTATCTTGTTAGCAGAGCCACAAACTACTTTTGTGCCATCTGAAGAGAATGCTAGTGATGTTATACAACCAGCGTTGTGATGGAAGCTCCACTCTTCTGCTCCTGTGGCTGCATTCCAGATCTTCACTATCTGGTCATGAGAGCTAGAAACCACCTTCATGCCATCTGGAGATAATGCTACACAGTTTATTTGGTCACGGTGGCGGCCATTCAAGGTCTGCTGTTCTGCGCCTGTAGCTGCATTCCAAATCTTGATACGACCTGCACTAGAAACCACTTCCATGCCATCTAGGGAGAATGCAAGAGATGTTACATGAACAGAGTGGCCAGTGAAGCTCTGTTCTTCCGCTCCTGTGGCTACATTCCAGATCTTGACTGTCTGATCACAAGAGCCAGAAACCACTTTCATGTCATCTGGAGAGAATGCAACATATGTTATAGAACTAGAGTGACCATTCAAGCTCTGCTCTTCTGCTCCAGTAGCTGCATTCCAGATCTTGACTATGTTATAAAAGCTAGAAACCACTTTCATGCCATCTGAAGAGAAAGCTACAGCTCCCATCATATGATTAGAGTGGCTGTGGAAGGTCTGCTCTTCTTCACCAGTAGCTGCATTCCAGATCTTGACACTTTTATCAGTAGAGCCAGACACCACTTTCATGCCATCTGGAGAGAATGCAACAACTATGACATAACTAGAGTGGCCATTAAAGGTCTGCAGTTCTGCGCCAGTAGCTGCATTCCAGATCCTGGCTGTCTTATCATGAGAGCCAGAAACCAATTTCATGCCATCTAAGGAGAATGCAACAGATGCTACATAGTCAGAATGGCTGTTGAATTTCTGTCGTTCTGCTTTTGTAGCTACATTCCAGATCTTGACTAGTGTATCACCAGATCCTGAAACTACTTTCATGCCATCTGGAGAGAATGCAACAGATGTTACATAAAGAGAGTGGCCATTGAGGCTCTCCTCTTCTTCACCAGTAGCTGGATTCCAGATCTTAACTGTCTTGTCCCTAGAGCCAGAAGCCACTTTCATGCCATCTGGAGAGAATACAACAGATGTTACACAATGAGAGTGGCCATTGAAGCTCAGCTCTTCTGCTCCTGTTGCTGCATTCCAGATCTTTACTGTCTTGTCCCAAGAGCCAGAAACTACCTTCGTACCATCAGGAGAGAATGCAACAGATACTACACGATTAGCATGACCCTTCAGGCTTTGCTCTTCTGCTCCTGTAGCTATATTCCATATCTTGACTTTCTTATCATCAGAGCCAGAAACCACTTTCATGCCATCTGGAGAGAATACAACAGATTTTACAGAGGAAAAGTGGCCAGTAAGGCTATGCTCTTCTGCTCCTGTCACTGTATTCCAGATCTTCACTGTCTTGTCCCTAGAGCCAGAAACTACTTTCATACCATCTGGAGAGAATGCAACAGATGTTACCCGGCGAGAGTGGCCGTTAAAGTTTTGCTCTTCCACTCCTGTAGCTGCATTCCAGATCTTGATACTTCTATCAACAGAGCCAGAAACCACTTTTATCCCATTGGGAGAGAATGCAACAGATGTTACACTATCAGAGTGGCCTTTAAGCCTGTGTTCTTCTGCTCCTGTAGCTGCATCCCATATCTTAACTATTCTGTCCTCAGAGCTAGAAACAACTTTTGTGCCATCTGGAGAAAATGCTACTGCCTGAACACTCCACCTGTGACCCCGATAATTTATCAAGACCCTATCGTGAACCATATTCTCACAGGTTACTCTGACTAGCTGGGGAAAATACTTTCCCCAAACACAATCCCCTCTCCTTCTTCCTAATTCCACTGCTAGACCAGTTATATATAACTGTGGAGTTGATAATACCCCTAAGCCATTTATATAGTAAGTCCATAGAGATTGGGCCCTGTATAAATGATCCTTTATCATCTCTGTTCCCTGGACCTGATGGTTTTGTTAATATCACTCTTGCTGAATTTTCTTGAATACTTACTTTATATATCCAACTTAGGGCCTGGTCAAGTGCTATCCGACAGTCTCTCTTAATCAAATTCATGGTCTCCATCCAAAATAATATCTTAATCTCTACAAATTGCTGTAGATCCTGGATGATTTCCTGTACTCTTGGATTATCATGTCTGATAGAGTCTAGATGTGCACCCCAGTTTTGGCAAGAATATCTGAGTTTTACTTCTATCCGTTCCTGGATCTTCAAATCCAGATTAACATCCTCGTTATCTGTTTGGTAGGATGATGCTAAGTCACAGATATTGAACTTCAGCTCCTTCTCCAAAATATTGAATACATTGTGTGTTTCATTAATAAAGTAATCCTTGGCCTCATCTTCATGTTCTACTTTTGCCCAATGTAGAATAAAGTCATCAAATGATTTATGATAGCAATAAATGCGCTGATCAGCTGTGGATATATATAATACAGCATGGAAAGCTTTGATGCTCTTTTCAACAGCTAGTTCATCTGGCTGTGCAGACATACTCCCTATTACAAGTGGTGCAAGAGTTTTGATAGTATGTGGTTGCCGGGCTGATACTACAGCATATAATATATGCCGACGCTGAACCATTTCAGGTTTCTCTGATGGTATTCCTTCAGAAAGAATATATTTATATAGGGTAGCAATTTGAAGGTTGTCTTCATCATCATCCAGACTAGCCAGCCTTCCACTTGTAGACAATCTCACTACTCGGTCATGTTGTTGTTGTGGTGTCAGATCATACTGTAGAGGTTTAAGATATCTGACAATTGTTGCGGCATAAATGAAAAGCCCTTGAGCCTGCTGAACAATATAATGCATATCCTCTTCATACAGTTGTGGCAGCTCTGTGCCAATGTACTGCTGAATATCCTCAGTTGCCTGGTTTTTTGGGATCCACTCAAGATGGTAAATGTTTTCTTTGAGTTTTTCAGCATGTCTGGCAATTTGAGGATTTGGACGGCTTGTGATCAAGAATTTCAAACCCTTGAAGTCTTGGTTGATTTCATTCATCAACTGTTCAAGGATATCGTGTCCCTGGCTTCCTTCAATCTCATCCAAAGCATCAATTACAATGAGATGTGGTATAGTGTGGTGTTGCATAGAGTTTTTCCAGGGCTCTGCCAATAGTTTCTTGACATGTGTTCTTGAAGAGGGTACTATGATATCCAAACTGGTATTGGACAGACTTTGAGCATATGGTGTATACTCTTCAAGAAGCTGTCTGGCAATAGTGGGAATGATGTTCCCTAAGGTTCTTGACAGAGGGTCAGTTCTAGAGCAAAAGAATGATGCAGCTAATTGCTTTTGGTCTTCTAGTTCCTTGCAAATTGTATAGGCCACAGTCGACTTCCCAGAGCCTGCCATACCACTAAGCCAAAATATCTGAGAGCCATTTGGGTCCTCAATCCAGTTTTCAAGTATTTTCAGTAGCTCTTGGCGGGTTCCCATGGTACATGATCTTCGTGCAGTCCTCAATCCTTGATCTGCGCTAAATAATGCTTTCGGTGCAAAGGGCAGTTTTCCTGCCTGATAATATATGGTAAATGGTCCAGAGTATAACAATTTTCAATACCATTGTCAATTTCATGATATTTGTCACATCTAGGGCAATTGACTGAGTTATTATGTTCTGTTAGGGATAATTTATTAGTTGATATAATTTATGGTTGTAAATATGTGTATATCACCATATGATCGTTCAGACCTTGGGCTAGCTCATTAGTACAAGCTTGAATGCTCTTGGCAAATTCATCAGGCTGTATGAAGCTCTGGAGTTTTGACTGTTTAAGTTTCTGTAACTTCATAGTTTCTGTTTTGAGTAACCTAAACCATTTTCAGACTTCAATAACTGATGGGAAATACATACTGTGCTAAGCTCTCACTGCTTCTAATGACGATTGGGTTGTATTTATGCCCATCAGAGATTTGTTGGTTGATTTTCTCCAGATTACCTGTTAGTGTCATGACCAAGGCCTCCAGATCCTCCTTATTGTTCTGATATTCCTACAAAATGATTAGCTTTGTAACAGGGTGATGCAATCTCAGGATTTACAATGATCCAACCAAATAATGTATCCAACACTTGGAGAGGAGCATTGAATGGAGCAGGAACTATTGGATTAAGAACATCCAGGATTGCTGATAGTCCCTTCACACTGCTTTGGGCCTTTTTGTAAAGGATCTTCTTCCACAAAGGTTGTTTCTATGAATTTTCCATTGAGAATGGATATTGGGGAAAAATTCCAGTTGTTACCTGAAGTTCCACTTGATTATCCAGCTCCAGTGGTGTGAGCCACACCTCAAAGCTTCCATCTTTCTTATTCAAAGTGTCCAATGGAACAGCTACCACTATCAATGATCTGCTGACCAGCAGTAGAACACTTACAATCTCCAGTAGCACTTTTGTCTAGAAGTTCCTGCACAGTATATATCTGCTGAGCAAGCAAATCATCCTTTCCCCATTTGTGCCAGTGGAAAAGTGCAAAATTAAGTTTCACATCATTTGATTCAACAATACTATATGGTTTGTCAGTCAACCATGCATACTGGGGATTTATGAAACTCACATCTGTTCCCTCACACTCCAGTGAGTAATCTGGGTGCTTTTCATCTTCTTTGTCTCAATCAGAACTTGCCCAGTGGGGCCCCCCAGGCGGATGACAGCATAGAGCTTTGTAGTCTTCACTGGTTTGTTATCCAAGCTATCTGGGTCTTGTGCTGAATTGACTACAACACAAAAGTCAGCACTGCTGAGGGCTACATGGATGAAGGCTTACTCCGGAGGATGTAGGTCTGGGACATGGTGGTCGAGTGCAAGAAAGGAGCATCGCCTCCCATGAGGCATCATGTCCTTGTCACCACAAGTGTCACCTGAGAAGCGGTGAACTCCATTAGCCCAACCACATGTATGATGGCACACACGGAGCCCGGCCCGGGGTGTCGCGGTATCTGACTTGCAGCCTGAGCTTGGCCCAGAGCAGGTACCGCAGCCCAGGCCGTGCACGTTGATATGGGCACACTTCATGTCTGTGTATGTTGCGTTTGAGAGCACCCGACGCTCCCGGCGGGCCGTCCTGTCCATTAGGAATATCTGAGAAACATCAAACTCGCGCAAGCCTCAGGCTGAGATTCATCAGACACGTTGCAGCCACATGGACGCAGCGATCATCGCTGCATCGCACGCGGAACATGTAAAATTGTCTTGAGCTGTTCATCGGACACAGCGTCGCCGTTTGGAGTTCACGACGCGTGAGACAAACAGTGAGATTGCTTAAATTTGAAGCCAATGGTCATCTACTAGCAGCGCCAGCCGTCGAGAGTCCACCTCCGCCCGAGTCCAATACCCACGCGCCCGCGACCGAGTCCGAGTGGGCCAACCAATAGTCGGCGCGCGTCAATCCGAGTCTCCGACTCAGTCCCACGGATATATGCCATGACCCCGAATGGCGGTGTCAACGTTTTCCTTCCATCCGCAGGTTCTGACTGCCATTACAGGATTGCCCCGTTGCGCGCCCCCACCGTCTGGCAAGTCGCGACAGCATGGCTGCGCTCTGGTCGAAGTCTCCTGACAGCTGCCTGCAGATGGCAATGGCATCGTTGCCATCGTTGACTAGTTGGAGGTTAGCAAGCCTCTGGCGGCAACAATCTCTTCGGCGCGACACCAATAGTCCCGCCCGCCCCACGCCCCGTGCTCCCAGTCGCGCTCCCCACTGTGTTCCAGACGCAAGATTACCAAGCGGGGATCAATGGCGGTTAGCTCCGCCGCGCGTTTCGCATGTAGCGCCTGCTCCGCCTCGTTGGGTTCCTGTGCGAATGCACCGTCGAGCACGTGCACCAGCACCACCAACGCGGGCCAGCACAGCAGTGCATGCCGCATCCGATTCAGATTGGGCACATCACCGTAGAAGAGCGCGATGTGTGTGAGGGCGGGGAACGCGGCCGCCAGCCGGGGGAGTGCGAGAGGCGTGCCGCGTACCTGAAAGAGCTCGAGGTGCGTCACGTGTGCAAGCGGCGCGGGCGGCGGGTCCGGCCCGGCGGCGCGCTCCGAGAAGACGGCCTCGAGGTTGATGGCGAGCCGGCGGAGTGCCGGGAGGGCGAGGAAGAGGCGAAGGTCGGCGATGCTTGCGGCGGTGATGGTCCACAAGCGCAGGCTGACAAGGTGTGGAAATGCGCGGAGGATGCGCGGGATGCTACTCGCTGCTGCGTCACGGTGGTCACCGCCAGTGTGCAGCCAAGGTCCGCAAACGGCGAGGTGGCGGGTGTGAATCCGGCTGGCGGGACAATGGCCGATGAGTTGCCACAGCCCGAGGCGCACCCGATAGCGCAGCGGTCCGATCCTGGGGTTGTTGGGAGAACAGATTACAGTATACAAGCCAGTGACTCACCAGACATGGACGCGCCGTGCAACAAGCACTAGCGTGCACATCACCTCCTTGTCTCTCCACGCCGCGAGGTCGAAGACGACGCGCTCCAGCTCTGGCGGCAAAGCTGGGTCCATAACGATGGTGGGCAATTGCAGAGGTGACGTGGCTTACATCACCGACTTCACCGACGTCACCGACGCCACTAGTACTGATGCATCATGATGACATGTTACATAACCGTTCCTTCCTCTCCTCTACCATGCCGACCCCTACCATGCCGACCCAGTGCAACCGCCGGAACTCGAGCGCGCCGTCTTTGAGCTCGCGGCGTGGGGAAATATGCAGATGATTGCAACATTACCGCTTGTGGCTCGCCGCGTCAACGCGTGGTAAATGCTCATTTATCCTTTCCTTCAAATCTGTAAAAGACGTGCAGGATACGGCCGTTGCGCTTTCGGGTGTACCGCATTCCGGACGACAAGGGGGGTCATCTGGCTATGGACGCTCACAACGACGTTCCCTGAAACTCAAGTAGCCATGACCCACCTCGCCATGGCAAGGGTACTGTACTATTTCAATCAATTAGTCCTGTCACGGTCACATTGACTTTTTTGGCCGAAAATTTTCTGCCTGTCACAGGTCACAGCAAGTTTCTTTGGCCCTAAACCGTCCCAAAGTGGTAATTTTTAAGAGATTTCCACGCCTACGGGCGCGCAGAACTTCCATATAAGGCAGGATGTCACACCAAATTCACCCCTTGGCTGAATTGCACATTTCTGCCACATGTGTCACAGGTCACAGGCCCGCAGAATTGAATAAAATAGTACAGTACCTTGCAAAGAAAATCCTAGACATCGGGTCAAAAAAGTGAATTAAGGACGAGCCAGCCCTTGCTACCCTATTGACATAAGCATGACTAAGCCATGTGACTTCCCAAAAGGGAAATTGTTTGTCATCAGTGTCTGTACAGGACACAGCACTGGGCTCATTGGATTCTATGCCAGGGCCATTTAAGACATACCATATGGGAAGGAAAGAAGCAGATGTAAATGACATGCTTACATGTCATTGTTTAGCACTGTACTTATCGTCAAACTCTCCCGATTGGGATATAGGCCCTCAAACATTCCAGATTCTTTGGCAACAAGTCCTAAAAACATATAACTGTGTATTTCTAATCCTCCTAAATGTCCATGAACCTTCTCCAGACACAAGTCCAAAAAGCGAAATTTCACCCTGGTAACCCACCCTACCCTATGTGACATGTGTGACTTGATGTCACCAGCTGATGATCTGCGGTACCCTTGTGCCATGGTTGCCAATGCCTCGGTAATATGTTCCCACGATTAGCATCATGTGACAACTGATGTAATCAAAAGTGGTTCAAAAGAAAACAAAATTCAACCTTTATAAAACTTCTAGAATTATTATATATATGTTATGTCTGTGCCAGCTCAGGCACTCAATTCAAATTCCGATTCTGCTTCTGGTTCTTGGTTTTTATGCAATGAAGATTTACTAAGCATTTCCAATTATTGTTCTATTTTGATCAAGTGTCCCAAAAAACAAAAATAGGGCTGTTTTTGGCGTAATCCAGACCTGAACACGTAACAGAGACCGGAGGTGTCTGCGCGGTGACCGCCTGTAATGTGTAATGCGGACAGGTGATTGAAATAGGACAGTAGTTTTTAAATCGATGTTGCTGGTCTGTATTCTCCAGCATTGTCTTGACTTCTCTCTTGTCTCTGTGTTGTTGTAAGGGCAACCCTGAAGGCTGGTCCTAGCAGGGGAGGATCCAAACATGAACATTGGTAAGCAAATACAACTTGAAATGAAGTTGACCTAGCAGGGGAGCCTGAGGATCCAAAGAGAAGAAACTCTAAGGGTGCGCAGCGTGCGCTTGCTAGGCAGCTGACTATACACGCTGTCGGGCACGGAAGGCTTGAGCAGCGTCACAGGTGGCAGGCCAGGTTCCAGGGCGACCGTTGGGAGGGCGTTGACAGATCTGTGATGGTGCAGGCTTGGGCGGAGGGTCGAACTGGAAACAGAATCATCTCCCGAAGGCCAAAAGGGGGGTTCCCTGACAGATTCGTGAGCACCTGATGGGATGTTCAGGGATGATTATAGATACAGACGAGAGTAGTGGGACTGGGACTCGCACAATAGGACCCAGTCCCACTTTGATGGCCCCAGTCCCACTCTCGCGGCGCCGAGAACACTTAGCCGAGCGCTAAGAAGACAATGTGAATCAAATATCAATCAGAAAAAGATGGATTACGCACCGCGCAGCGGGCCTACGCGGCGAGCGGCAGCCCGCGGCAGCGTGGGGTCCGGGGCAAAGCCCTGGTCGGGGTCCGGGGTGGAAAACCCCGGCCGTCGCGGCCGGCGCCGCCACCCCGTTGAATATGATGATTACACAGTTAAGGCTCCAACCAAATACAATACAATACTCAATATATTGAGTTATAACCCAATACAATCCATATATATATACAGGGTGGCAAAATTTTTGTAGTATAGAGTATATACTGTATAGATACTCTATACTATTGAGTTTTCTCAGAGGCCTATATAGACAGTATCTGTAAGTGTTATTGTTATATCCGTGCCGACTCCGGCATCCGTCTCCGATATCCGTCTCCGGTATTTGGTTTTTACGCAATGAAGATTTACTGAGCGTTTCCAATTACCCCGACTTATGATCTATGCAATCATCTATGCCTTGTTCCTCGTATGCAACTCCTCTTCTACTTTACTTGACTTTGTTCTAATCTTGTTACTTACTTTGTTATACCTTATTCCGTTTCCGTTACTTCTCGTACTATAAATACTTGATGTATTATCACGTACTTCAGTTTGTAAATTAACGTTGCTGGTCTCTATCTCCCAGCGTCGTCTCGACTCCGCTCTTCCCTTCTTGTCTTGTCTTGGCCAACTGGAAGCCCCGGTCACCCAAACATCCTTCTGTGGTGTTCCGCCCCAAGTGCTCTACGACTTCGATTCCGTTTCCGACTTCGACTTCGACTCCGTCTCCGTCTCCGTCTCCGTCTCCGTCCCTCTGGTCGACACGGCACTTAACAGTATTTACAAACTCACTTCCTTTTGACCATGTCAAACGTACGCCTCTCTTCTGGCAACATAGACCCCGCCAATACTGGTCAACGGCGTTCATCCCGCTTCTACGAACAAATGGTTCCTCTTACTTCGCCTATGGCGAACTTCACCTACAACGCTGGCGCTCCTGTCACTTCGGTTCCTGTTCCCGTTCCTCGGACACCTACTGGCACGACCAACCCTTTCCGGCCTGGTTTTGTCATGTCTCCGCAGGATCCTGATCCAAGTACTATCCCTATGCCAACGACTCCGCATCCAAACACGGGTCGTTTCTCTAACGTCAGTTCCCCTCCCGTCTCTCCTACCTTACGTTACCGACCCCTCACTCCCACACGCCTTCACGACATCGAAGAAGAAAGCGAGCCAGTCCCGATGTATCGGCACGCTTTTAGCAGGCCCATGAGCCCTGCTCAAGGTCGCTCCGGAAACGGAAACGATTCCGGTCAAGGTCAACCAAACCGCAACCCCTCTCCGACTTTTAGCGGCAAGCCGAGTCCGTTCTTGACTTCGCCCTCTGGCTCCCCTCCTGGCTCTCCCAGAGGCGGACCTCCTGGTGGTGGTGGACCTGGCGGACCTGGTGGTGGTGGACCTGGTGGTCCTGTTGGCGGCCCTGGTGGATCTGGAAATCCATTCTGGGGTCCCCCTAGAGGAGGTGGTGGCGGAGGAGGAGGTGGAGGTGGAGGTGGTGGGCCACCTGGTGGAGGTGGTGGTGCCGGAGTCCCTCGAGCTGGCTCTCCGGGCCGTGATCTTCAACGCGCTATGATTGGCGCTCTCCAAAATTTCCAACATTTCCTCACCAACTTTCCTCAGCGCAACAATACTGCGCCCCGTTCCAATCGGAGTCTTCTCCGGGCACCGGACACGTTCGACGGTTCCGATCCCGCGAAGCTCGTCCCTTTCCTCACCCAGTGCTATATGCACTTTGCCGAGCGTGAGCAAGATTTCTCTACTGATGACGAGAAAATAATCTACAACACCTCGTATCTGCGCGGAAACGCATTGGCGTATTTTACGCCTAACCTGTATGCCATGAATCAGGGCCAGGCTATTGCGATTCCGGCTTGGGACGGCAATTTTCCTTTGTTCATCAAGGAACTCCAGGACAACTTTGGTCCTCAGGACCCGGTTGGCGACGCGGAGGACAAAATCCGGAATGTGACGATGAAGTCCGGTGATAAGATCACCACTTACATTATCCAATTCGACACCCTCGCTCTCATCACCAATTGGGGTGATTCCGCTCTCCGACATACCTTCTATTCCGGTCTTCCTAAACGTATCAAGGACGACATGATGCACTACGTCTACGCTAATACGCTGGACGGAGTCAAGCAAACTGCCCGTCTCATCGACGGCAAGTATTGGAAGCGTGAAGCGGAGAAGCAGAGGGAGCGGGAGTTAAGAGATTCTCATGGTGGTGGATCTGGTTCTGGTTCGGGCTCTGGCCATTCCGGTGGCCATTCCGGTGGCTCGAATTCTGGGTCTGGGGGTTCTAAAAAGGACTCCTCTTCGAAAAAATCGTCTGGCTCTTCTGGCTCATCTGGCAACAACTCCGGAAACGGAAACGTCTCCGGTGGTAATTCAATTCTGGCAACAAGGGCTCCAACAGCTCTCAGCAACAGGCTTCCTCGTCGTCTTCCAACAATAACGACAAGACGAAGACAGCCAAAGCGCACGCTTCCCTTCTTGGTCCTGATGGGAAGTTGAAGCCAGAAATACGCGAGTTCAGAATCAAGAACAAGCTTTGCCTCTTCTGTGGCAAGTCTGGGCATATGGCCAACGAGTGTCGAAAGAAGAAGGCTATGTTGGACGCACGCGCCACTACCATTACTCTGGTGGCTGCGTCTCCGGCGGTCGCCACTCCGGTCGACAACACTGAGTCAAAAAAATAGTCAGCGACTCGGTCCCTCTTGCAGCCGAACCGAGCCGCGTTGACTCCAGGTTGCTACCGGAGGTACGTCTCAATGCGTCCGCTCTTTCTTCTCACGCCCTCTTTCTCGATCTTCACGTTTCCGCTCTCGTCCCGTCTCCGGGG